ACAGAAAATATCTGGTTGCTTGGGCAGGGGAAACACCGAAGGAAGCGCAGTTCCTTTGTTACTCCCCCTAAGGTGACCACAAACATCAAACAACTGCCTGCTGGTTTTACCCATAGTTATCTTTTGGCTAAAATACGTAGTCTTTGCACGACAAACAATCTGATTGACACGCTTCTTGGCAGCGTAAAATATCTGCTTAAAAACCACAAGACCTGATCTCAACCACTTCTTTTCTGCACTACGGCGCTCTTTCTTGGCACTGCGTAGTTCCTCCTTGATGGTCGCATACCAGGGAGATGACCGCTTTAGACTAAAATTGCGGCGGGTGACAGGGGCGTGCCGGTCAAGCACAGCGCGCAATGCACGGTCTAGTGATTCCAATGTAGGGCAGAGGGCAGGGGACACTTCTACGCTTAGGTCATGCTTAAATGCATCCCTGTTTATAGCTCGCAGACTGCGCACCTCCCTAAACTGAGGGAGAGGGTTGGGGGCACTAACACTAAGTTCACAAATAACACAGAAGTGGTCAGAGGACAGCTCTTGCGTGATTGAAGTAGATCTAACTACACCATCTTGAGGCCTATGTAGCACCCAGTCAAGAATATGTCCACGATTATGAGTCGGTTGGTCGACTGATTGGTGAAGACTGAATAAATCCAAGAGATCCAACATCCTAGCAGTGGAGGGGTGCTGTGGTTGATCAAAATGGAAGTTCATGTCGCCTAGTACAATGTAAGTCCCGGTCAATGTGTTGCAGTGGTCAATCAAATCCGGGAATTCTCGATGAAACACTGAGTCGGTCAATTTATTTTTCTTACTAGGGAAGGTGCGATATATGCACATGAAATGAACTGTCTGCTGGGGCACTGACAGTGTAAATTGAACTACCTCAAAAGATGTGTGAACGAATGGGCGGTCTGTGACAAAAGCTGTATGATGGGACAATGTGTCTCTATATATAATAGCAATTATTAAAAGCATCATAGAATATTAATTATCTTACTGTCATAATTGCAACAACAATAAATACCCTAAATTTTATGGTGACATGGAGATTCCCATGAGTATTGTTAACTTTTATAGCAGTTATATTGGATGTCCCATACTGATTAAATCTTTGGTAGTTCCTTTTGAGGCAAGCCGGGCCCCCCAAAATCACTTTAATTTTGATTTCACTATCAGCTTTTCCTTTTTAATTATTAGAAGGGTTGTTGTTATAGAAGTAGCAACAAAATTTTTTTTATAAAGTTATTACTGTACCGTTGTTGCAGTATTAACATATCAGCTCATTATGTCATAAACATTAGAGATAATTTGTATTACTTTTCTCAGGCTCAGGGCTATTAAAACTCAAACATCGTTCTGTTATGGAGAAGAGAAACATTTCATTTTTATTTCAGGTGAAAAATGGAATGGCTATTGTACGTCCACCAGGTCATCATGCAATGGAAGAAGAATACTGTGGTTATTGCTACTTTAGCAATGCAGCCATTGCAACACAGATAATGTTGGATAAATATCATTTGAAAAGGTATTTTGAAATGAGAAAGTTTTTACACATTTTTGATAAAAGCATATTTACCACCGAAAAAAACATTAAAAATATGTAGTTTTAAGTTATGAAAAATGTTGATTTATTGAGCTTAAAAAGCTGAAATCTTTAATGTTAGTAAAATAAATTATTGAGCTTAAACAGCTGAATCTTTAATTTATTTGCCAGAGTACTGTTGCTTGACTGGGATGTCCACCATGGCCAAGGAAGTCAATTTAAATTTTATAATGATTCAAGGTTTGTTCTCACTCTTCACATTTTTTCACTTCAGTTTGACAATAAAAATTATTTTGGCGCTATCCAGTAGTTTTCTTATAATGGCACTATCCAGTAGTTTTCTTATAGTGGCACTATCCAGTAGTTTTCTTATAATGGCACTATCCAGTAGTTTTCTTATAATGGCACTATCCATTTGTTTTCTTATAATTGCACTATCCAGTAGTTTTCTTATAATGGCACTATCCAGTAGTTTTCTTATAATAGCACTATCCATTTGTTTTCTTATAATGGCACTATCCAGTAGTTTTCTTATAATGGCACTATCCAGTAGTTTTCTTATAATGGCACTATCCAGTAGTTTTCTTATAATGGCACTATCCAGTAGTTTTCTTATAATGGCACTATTCAGTAGTTTTCTTATAATGGCATTATCCAGTTGTTTTCTTATAATGGCACTATCCAGTTTTTTCTTATAATGGCACTATCCAGTAGTTTTCTTATAATGGCACTATCCAGTAGTTTTCTTATAATGGCACTATCCAGTAGTTTTCTTATAATGGCACTATCCAGTTTTTTCTTATAATGGCATTATCCAGTTTTTTCTTATAATGGCACTATCCAGTTTTTTCTTATAATGGCACTATCCAGTTTTTTCTTATAATGGCATTATCCAGTTTTTTCTTATAATGGCACTATCCAGTTTTTTCTTATAATGGCACTATCCAGTAGTTTTCTTATAATGGCACTATCCAGTAGTTTTCTTATAATGGCATTATCCAGTTGTTTTCTTATAATGGCACTATTAAGTTTTTTCTTATAATGGCATTATCCAGTTGTTTTCTTATAATGGCACTATATACAGCCAGAGTTCTAGTTAATCCTATTTTTGTGAAAATTTTCTCTATGAGACAGTAATGTTTAAAAACTTGCTTTTTTTATCAGAAATAAATTGCTGCTTAAATTTTCTATTTATGTATTGTAATCTGTTTTTCACAGGGTGCTGTTTGTATCCATTCATCGCTATGAACATGGTGGAGAGTGGCCTTGCCTTAGAGAATCTGACTATGACTTTATTGGAGAAGATCATGGCAAAGGATATACAATCAACATACCACTCAATGAGGTACTTAAATAAAATATCAATGCTACATATTTATTTGCATCATAGTTTTATTGTAACTGGGACCTAAGAGATCATCAACCCAAAACTTGTGCTAAACCTTAACGTCATATCTTTTTAACTTGGTGGAACTAAACCATGGCAACGTTATGGTCCTAAGTGATCCGATGTACTAGGTATTCCCAGGGACCTAAGAGATCATCAACCCCAAACTTGTGCTAAACCTTTTCGTGTCATATCCTTTTAACTCGGTGGAACTAAACTATGGCAATATTATGGTCCTAAACAATCTGACGCACTAAGTACATCTGTGGTGCCTAATCCGCCACAACTCATCAGAATCTATGAAAAATTGTTACGCCTCCACAAATTTAGACAAATTACATTTCTACTATATTTTTACATTGGGCAAATTTCGTGGAGAACTACACTGCAAGTAATGTGACGATCATCACCCTACAGCTCTCTTTGCACTGGGTTTTCTGTAATGCCGACTTTCATTTGTATTTAGTTCCTGGATCTGGGCAATGCAATGTAACTGACAGACCATGTGAGGAAACATGTGTTTGTAGAATGCTAACCCAGTTGATCAAATGTTTGTTCTTGTGATTTATTTATTGGGAATTGGCGATGCTTAAGATAACGGTAGTGTTGTATGATGGTTTAAGATAACGGTAGTGTTGTATGATGGTTTAAGATAACGGTAGTGTTGTATGATCGTTTAAGATAAAGGTAGTGTTGTATGATGGTTTAAGATAATGGTAGTGTTGTATGATGGTTCAAGATAACGGTAGTGTTGTATGATGGTTTAAGATAACGGTAGTGTTGTATGATCGTTTAAGATAAAGGTAGTGTTGTATGATGGTTTAAGATAACGGTAGTGTTTCATGATGAAGACCAAATGATTGAAATTATTTCAGTTCTTATAAAACTGTGATGCCGCTGCTTCACGATCATGCGGGTTGTCTTGTACGGTCCTTTATGTGGATTCAGGTTGCGCAGCAGCATAAATATTACTCCACACTTATAGATGCAGAAAAGTGATAAAACTTCCTGGTGGAGTTTGTTCATTCAGGAACTCTACTGGATTGTTCTGAACATCCCTTTAGTATTCTTAAATAAGAACTGTAATAGATTTTTTGTTTGTTAATGCCAAAGTGTGTCAATTCTTCACTTTAAGCCTCAGAAACTCGTGTGATGAAAAGGGGTGCGATGATATCTCAGGTTTTGATTATTGATTGAGGTATTTCAGTGGTGCAGTCATAGATGTCTTTGATAGATTGGAAGATGACTCATGCCAATTTGCAGCAGCCATTTGTGTTCTTCCTGGCCAACACTACACGTGTTGATGGCTAGAGGCAGCTGAAAAAAGTCTATCCATACAAATGTGCATTTAAAAAAGTTAGTCTGAACAAATTTTAAAGTGTGTAATTTTTTATTTTTTAAATTACAGCTTGGATTGGGAAATAGTGAATACTTGGCTATATTCTTCAACCTTCTGTTACCAATATTCTATGAGGTAGGTTAGTTGAGACATATCAATGTTCTAATGGATCAACTTTACAACAATAATTATGAATTTCAACTTGTAGGTCTCATTACTTTGATAGTGTTTCATAGTAATCCAAATATCTTTCAGAAATAATTGCTTAATCTTGTATGCTTAAAAGAAAGTGAAAATGCACAGAAAATAAGTTTTAAACTTTGGTTAATAATTTTTATAAACATATAAATAAGTAAGTTACATATGTATAATCTGGCACTGTAATGATGTAATGAGGAATAAATGACTTTGATAACTAGCTGATAATTGCCTGTTATCATCATTTTTTTTTTAAATAAAAGGAAGTTAAATATGGAAGTGATTGCATGCATAATAGATAATAAATGAAGGACTGTGTTCAAACTGTGTGAAGGAGATAACGTAACAAATTATGGTGAAGCTTGAAATGACAGGACAATAGAAGGAGAACGTTGTTCTTTTATTGTCCTATCTTTTCCTTTCAAGCTTCAACCTACCTTGTTCCACCATTTCCTTGCATCCATAAATCAAGGCACATTACTTATTAGACTGATCAAACTGATGTTCTTCTCTTAATATATAAACAAAAGCTTTGTACTAGTGCTCAACACAATTAATGAACTTTTTTTGATTTAGAATTTATTTTTGGTATGTTAATGAAATTAAAAATATTAAAGCAAAAGCTTTTTAGTAATTTTAGTAGCGTTTTAAATATTTCATTTAATTTAATATAAAGGTTTTTATATTGGAAACTAAAGATCAACAAAATCTTTGTTTAGGTGTCAATTAACTATATATCGTTTGTTTTGTGTTAACAGTATGCAATGACTAACATTATTATTCTCTTTGTATACTTTCACAGTTTAAATCGCTCATTTTCACTAAATAGGTAGATAAAAAATTACAATGAAAGTGGTTTCAGCAATTGAAATTAATTACACACAGAATGACATGCTTTAGCTTGAGTTAAATTAAAACAGACACGTATGCTTCAGCTTACAGACCCGTACGCTTCAGCTTACAGACCCGTACGCTTCAGCTTACAGACCCGTCTGCTTCAGCTTCCATTTGAATTACTCCCGGACTGATTTCATATTTCTTATTTCATAATTATAAAATAATTTTCTTGAAACTAATTAACCAATCAGATTCTTTATTTTGAAGTTTGATCCGGAACTTGTGCTTGTGTCCGCTGGCTATGACTGTGCCGTTGGATGTCCTGAGGTGAATATTTGTCATTGAACTTTTTTATGTCACAGAAGTCGATTGAATTTGCTGAGATTTTGTTGTTCTGTTAAAAATAATGAATAATTTTTCTGCCATGGATAAAATACTCCCCTGTTCTCATTTTTCTTCTGAGATTAGGGTGAGATGGATGTTACCCCCGCATGCTTTGCACACTTCGTGAATTTGCTAATGCCCCTAGCTAATGGAAAAGTGGGTCTCATTTTGGAGGTAATCTCAGACATGTGGGTAAAAGTTGTATTCCCCTGTAAAAAGAAATAATTTTTATTCAAATTCATATATAAAGAATTAGCTGTAATAAATTTATTAGAACTTATTATTTTCATTAGAAACAGATCTGGTCTTCAATTTTTTATTTTTCTATTGCTGTCCTGAAATCGTTAGGGAGGCTATAATTTAAAGTCCCTGTCTGAGTCGGTGGCACTGAGTTTACGGGCACTTCTGGGAGATCCAACCCCTAAAATAGCACCAGTCTCAGCCCCAAGACAAAGGTAACAATCTCCTGCTTTATTCAACGTTCTTAAGTAAAATTTAAGACAGTGTTTACTGTAGATCTTATTTTATTGTCTCTCACCTACCCTTACACCTCGATCAGAAGATTGAAAGTTCACAAACACTATCCACTCCGGTAGTTTTAGATGTTTTGTTGATGAAGACTTTAAAGATCAGTGGAGACTGGCAGAGAAGATAAAACAATATACACTGCAGTAGTTTTAGATGTTTTGTTGATGAAGACTTTAAAGATCAGTGGAGACTGGCAGAGAAGATAAAACAATATACACTGCAGTAGTTTTAGATGTTTTGTTGATGAAGACTTTAAAGATCAGTGGAGACTGGCAGAGAAGATAAAACAATATACACTGCAGTAGTTTTAGATGTTTTGTTGATGAAGACTTTAAAGATCAGTGGAGGCTGACAGAGAAGATTAAACAATATACACTGCAGTAGTTTTAGATGTTTTGTTGACGGAGTCTTTAAAGATCAGTGGAGACTGGCAGAGAAGATAAAACAATATACACTGCAGTAGTTTTGGATGTTTTGTTGACGGAGTCTTTAAAGATCAGTGGAGGCTGGCAGAGAAGATAAAACAATATACACTACAGTAGTTTTGGATGTTTTGTTGACGGAGTCTTTAAAGATCAGTGGAGGCTGGCAGAGAAGATAAAACAATATACACTGCAGTAGTTTTGGATGTTTTGTTGACGGAGTCTTTAAAGATCAGTGGAGGCTGGCAGAGAAGATAAAACAATATACACTGCAGTAGTTTTGGATGTTTTGTTGACGGAGTCTTTAAAGATCAGTGGAGGCTGGCAGAGAAGATAAAACAATATACACTACAGTAGTTTTGGATGTTTTGTTGACGGAGTCTTTAAAGATCAGTGGAGACTGGCAGAGAAGATAAAACAATATACACTGCAGTAGTTTTGGATGTTTTGTTGACGGAGTCTTTAAAGATCAGTGGAGACTGGCAGAGAAGATAAAACAATATACACTGCAGTAGTTTTAGATGTTTTGTTGATGAAGACTTTAAAGATCAGTGGAGGCTGACAGAGAAGATTAAACAATATACACTGCAGTAGTTTTAGATGTTTTGTTGACGGAGTCTTTAAAGATCAGTGGAGACTGGCAGAGAAGATAAAACAATATACACTGCAGTAGTTTTGGATGTTTTGTTGACGGAGTCTTTAAAGATCAGTGGAGGCTGGCAGAGAAGATAAAACAATATACACTGCAGTAGTTTTGGATGTTTTGTTGACGGAGTCTTTAAAGATCAGTGGAGGCTGGCAGAGAAGATAAAACAATATACACTGCAGTAGTTTTGGATGTTTTGTTGACGGAGTCTTTAAAGATCAGTGGAGGCTGGCAGAGAAGATAAAACAATATACACTGCAGTAGTTTTGGATGTTTTGTTGACGGAGTCTTTAAAGATCAGTGGAGGCTGGCAGAGAAGATAAAACAATATACACTGCAGTAGTTTTGGATGTTTTGTTGACGGAGTCTTTAAAGATCAGTGGAGGCTGGCAGAGAAGATAAAACAATATACACTGCAGTAGTTTTGGATGTTTTGTTGACGGAGTCTTTAAAGATCAGTGGAGGCTGGCAGAGAAGATAAAACAATATACACTGCAGTAGTTTTGGATGTTTTGTTGACGGAGTCTTTAAAGATCAGTGGAGGCTGGCAGAGAAGATAAAACAATATACACTGCAGTAGTTTTGGATGTTTTGTTGACGGAGTCTTTAAAGATCAGTGGAGGCTGGCAGAGAAGATAAAACAATATACACTGCAGTAGTTTTGGATGTTTTGTTGACGGAGTCTTTAAAGATCAGTGGAGGCTGGCAGAGAAGATAAAACAATATACACTGCAGTAGTTTTGGATGTTTTGTTGACGGAGTCTTTAAAGATCAGTGGAGGCTGGCAGAGAAGATAAAACAATATACACTACAGTAGTTTTGGATGTTTTGTTGACGGAGTCTTTAAAGATCAGTGGAGGCTGGCAGAGAAGATAAAACAATATACACTACAGTAGTTTTGGATGTTTTGTTGACGGAGTCTTTAAAGATCAGTGGAGGCTGGCAGAGAGGTTATTTAAGTCTAAGGATGAGCGCTTGCTTTTTTTTTTTTTAAAGTATAAAGTTTGACTATGGGAAACCAGTCTCATGCAAAGCCATTTCAAGTTAAAACTGACTCTTTGGATCACTTTAATTGTTTGTTAAGTTTGACTATGGGAAACCAGTCTCATGCAAAGCCATTTCAAGTTAAAACTGACTCTTTGGATCACTTTAATTGTTTGTTAAGTTTGACTATGGGAAACCAGTCTCATGCAAAGCCGTTTCAAGTTAAAACTGACTCTATGGATCACTTTAATTGTTTGTTAAGTGTGACTTACATCCATTAAGATTTTATTAAGTTGCATGAAAGACTTGCTTTTAATATTTAATATATTTCTTCAAATAGTGTGGTAGAGTCCATCCTGAACTGCATAAAGATGTTGCACCCTTACTGGCACTGCCTAAAATATCAGGACCTTGTGAAACTTCAGGACATTCAAGTTGAGCAGTATCCATTTCTCAGGGTACTCCATTTGCCTCCTCTGTAAGTGAAGCTCTACAAGTTGTAATGGCCAAGTAATATGTCTCTAGAACGTCCAATGTTTGGCCTCAGTGTTCTCTGTTAATTCAGTCATGTATTAATGCATGAACAACACAAACACACCATGACACACAGGACACAGAACTGCATTGACAGCCAGACTAAAATATCCCTGCAATCAACACATCACTCCTAACTGTACATAGATACTGGCTTCTAGAATACTTGACTGTATACAAATAAAGAATGCAGACAGTACATCTATTGAGTGTACATGATTTCGGATGTCCGAATGTAATTGATTCTAATATCCAAAAATCTGATCCTAATAAATAAAAATAGTGTGGAACATTTTAATGATTTTGAAACAGTCTTTTGATCTTTGATTCTATTAAGCGGCTGATTTTAATAACCAGTGATCACTATAAAGTATAAACAGAGTCTACTATACTTAAACATTACTTTTTTAACTTTTTACATTTTGTTTATTTTGCTTATGTTAAGATAGAACTTAAATTTTGTAAAACTCGCAGTGGTGTTCTAGTAAAATTTGAAAAAATTATTTTTAAGACTACATAAAGATAAAAGGGGAATGTTCCAGTTCTCTGGTAGCAATATTAATTGCAAGATATAGCCCGCCAAACATTGGCAACAGCAATGCATGAATATAACCCCTTCCGTCCATGATCCGTCACTGCACACTTTTTATTTCATGCCCACGAACTATATTAATATTTTGATGTCCCAACCACTTTTAAACTTAGAGACGATTTTATTTTCCGAAAAGAAAATTTTACATACCAAACTCAGTTGCGCTATTTTTAATAAAAATTATTATTTAGCGTAGTTATCGGGAATTATATTTTGTTATTGAACTCATTATTGAACCATACATTCTTTCAAACATATACAATTATTTGTAATATACCCTCAATACCAAATACGCTGAATAGGAAGCAGCAAGAAGCGTAATATATATATATATATATATATATATATATGTAATTCAGAGAAAATAATTATAAATATCTTTTTAGACAGTGCAAACTTCCTGAAATAACAAAAGCTGTCTTTCAAATAATTTTTAAATATGATGTGGCACATTGTTATATACAGATATATATCAATTGAAAACAATAAGGAACTTCTGGAAAGTTTTAAGGAATATTGCTAGTCTCTTATTATATTTTGAGAATTAAAAAAAAAAATCACTTTATTTATACACCAGTCATGATATAAAGTTCTGTTATTTATACACCAGTCATGATATAAAGTTCTGTTATTTATACACCAGTCATGATATAAAGTTCTGTTCTTTATACACCAGTCATGATATAAAGTTCTGTTATTTAAACACCAGTCATGATATAAAGTTCTGTTATTTATACACCAGTCATGATGTAAAGTTCTGTTATTTATACACCAGTCATGATATAAAGTTCTGTTATTTATACACCAGTCATGATATAAAGTTCTGTTATTTAAACACCAGTCATGATATAAAGTTCTGTTATTTATACACCAGTCATGATATAAAGTTCTGTTATTTATACACCAGTCATGATATAAAGTTCTGTTATTTAAACACCAGTCATGATATAAAGTTCTGTTATTTATACACCAGTCATGATATAAAGTTCTGTTATTTAAACACCAGTCATGATATAAAGTTCTGTTATTTAAACACCAGTCATGATATAAAGTTCTGTTATTTATACACCAGTCATGATATAAAGTTCTGTTATTTAAACACCAGTCATGATATAAAGTTCTGTTATTTATACACCAGTCATGATATAAAGTTCTGTTATTTATACACCAGTCATGATATAAAGTTCTGTCATTTAAACACCAGTCATGATATAAAGTTCTGTCATTTATACACCAGTCATGATATAAAGTTCTGTTATTTATACGCCAGTCATGATGTAAAGTTCTGCACACCCGAAAATCGCCCAGAAACATTTCCTTTGCTGCAGGAATGTACTGATGAAATAACAACCAGCCAACTTGAGGAAATAGACAGGAAAATTGAGGAAACTATTCAAAATACTTCCATTACTTTTACAAACAAGAAGTAAGACTTTTGGTTTCATATTTTCATACACAAGGTTTAGAAATTGTTTATTGTTTTTCAAATTATGTAAAAAAACAAAATAAAAGATTTGAACACACACATTTGACTGCTGCATGAAGCTCATTATAAAAGCACAACATTAAGAGTAACTAGTAAACCAATCAATTATTGTTAAAAAATTTGAGCTGTTGATAAAAGCAAATCAAAGGGACTTGCTTTATATTTCTCTCAAATTTATTTTCAAAGGTTGAGTATCACATTTGACAAGCTGGGTTCAAGTGTTTTGACTACAGCTTACACAGCCCTGAAACCTCAAAGTCTTTCACTAATAGTATGTTGTTTTTTTTACTTTTATAACAAATATATTAAGCAAAGACCTTATGTATGTATACCCTTAATATCTTCTCATTTCTATTATGTACGTTTACTCTCCTAAAATCCAAAATTGTCTTTCAGTTTGAATTTATGAAATGTCTCCATGAAGTTTTTTAAAATTAAGCTTTACATATTGCATTCACCTTATTAAGATGGCTAAAAACATACCTTAACAGGAGTAATGGTCTAACATAGAAATCTAATTGTTAGGTTGAGAGCGGATTTGACTCTCTTCCATTATATCATTAAATAAGGTTCCCCACTGACCTGGGATCAGGGTACACTTGCTGGTGTCAAGTATGGGAGTTCATTAGTAATTGTTGGGACTGAATATTATGTTCATTAGTTATTGAACGCTCTTCCCGCGCCTGACTCTTTTAGTTAGTGAAGCTCTTCCCGCGCTTGTCTCTATGACTATTTTTATGCTGAGTGTGATGTATTGTCTAGACAGTATTGTGAGTTTAAGTCTGTGGCAGTCTTGAGTGGAACTTTGTGGAAGTAGGATGTATATTATTTATGTCTGATAGCGAGCTGCGCTAAATTCATGTGTTTATGTGTATAGTATATACTTAGATATTAAAGTTATAATTATTATGAAAAGGACCTGAGTTAATTCAGTGATAGTAAGAATAGTATGACGTATTCAACGTGTGAAAGAACTTGACAAATCAATCAATCCAAGTAGACTTAGGAGTTCACAACTGGTAACAGGACCATTTAAGTATTATGGTGACACTTTTACAGCTTTTACGGATTTCATGTCTGCTCCTGGTGCTTTTAATAAGTTGAAGCAAGTCTTTTTTTTTAACCATAGAGAATCTGCCAGGAAAATATTAGAGAGCTGCTGAAAACAAAATACTCCAAAATCAGTCATTTTTAAAAAGTTTTATGTGAATGTTGAGCTTAGTGATGATAAGGTGATGGTCTGTCCATCAGTCCACACCACACATAGACTAGGTCACAGGCACACATAGACTAGGTCACAGGCACACATAGACTAGGTCACAGGCACACATAGACTAGGTCACAGGCACACATAGACTAGGTCACAGGCACACATAGACTAGGTCACAGGCACACATAGACTTGGTCACAGGCACACATAGACTTGGTCACAGGCACATCCTGTCTTCATTTCTCCTTATGATGAGATGCTTATGCCCTGAGTGAGGGTGCATCTAAGACACCAGATTACATGTGGGAAGGTTGAACACTGTTGCCTTTGCCCACTCTGGTAATCCTTGGCAATGTAGTCATGGCCCATTTGTTGATTGAAGTCCTCAAGAATTATGAGTTTGTTTTGCTTTGGATCACTGGCTATGATAGGGAGACGATCCTTGTAGAACCTGGTCTATTATGACAGGGAGAAGATTCTTTTAGAAACCCGGCCTTTACTTTATCTGGGCTGGACAATATTGCCAGTCATCTGAGTTTGAACTGCAAATCCAACAAATGTCTCACTACTGCTGAAACATGGTTCCTTCCAGCTGGAGGAGCCTAGTTGGGATTTGATAAAGCTGGCAATGTTTAGGGCAACTTTTCTTGCCTTACTCCATGCCATGAAGGTGATATGTGTGTTCTAAAAAGGTGTGCTGAGGCGCTCAATGAGCTGCTGGACACCACTGTTCCTTCTTATCAGTGATGAATGACCTTATAGCCTGAGCTGTCTATGTGTTGTGTTGCAATTATGGTTGCTAGTGTACCATCATCTGCTGCGTACCAATATGTGACTTTGTAGGTGATAAAAATAGAATGAAATGTAATGGATGATTAAACTGACTTGTATTGTGACTTGGATGTAAGTGAGGTAGAGTTGCTAGAGTCAACAACCACTACCTTCTGCCCAATACCATTTGGATCCAGCAAAAGACAAGTTTGAAACAGCCGTAGACAGAATTTGGTGCAGTGTAAATGACCATGACATCCTATATGGTTGTCATGCTGTGATTTACTTGCTGCTTTTTTCTGCCCGCTCCTCTGTGTATTCCATCAGATCAAGTCTTCACATTCTCTAGGGTCAAGTCCTGTTATCATGGTTTTGAGGTCCTTCAGATACTCTCAACCTGGCTTAGCTGGCTAGCCAAAGCGATTTATTCTAGAGTGGCTGCTGCTTATTCTAAAGTTTCTTGGAGCCATATCTGAGAGCAGAGCACCATGTGGGGACCAACGATTTACTTTGTACCCCCAAGACTGCTACCCAATCTCAGATATGCTACTCATCCAAAGTTACCTCATACACCATGCCATCATGAAAAGTCTCATGTGGGGACCAACGATTTACTTTGTACCCCCAAGACTGCTACCCAATCTCAGATGTGCTACTCATCCAAAGTTACCTCATACACCATGCCATCATGAAAAGTCTCATGTGGGGACCAACGATTTACTTTGTACCCCCAAGACTGCTACCCAATCTCAGATATGCTACTCATCCAAAGTTACCTCATACACCATGCCATCATGAAAAGTCTCATGTGGGGACCAACGATTTACATGTGGGGACCAACGATTTACTTTGTACCCCCAAGACTGCTACCCAATCTCAGATATGCTACTCATCCAAAGTTACCTCATACACCATGCCATCATGAAAAGTCTCATGTGGGGACCAACGATTTACTTTGTACCCCCAAGACTGCTACCCAATCTCAGATGTGCTACTCATCCAAAGTTACCTCATACACCATGCCATCATGAAAAGTCTCATGTGGGGACCAACGATTTACTTTGTACCCCCAAGACTGCTACCCAATCTCAGATATGCTACTCATCCAAAGTTACCTCATACACCATGCCATCATGAAAAGTCTCATGTGGGGACCAATGATTTACTTTCTACCCCCAAGACTGCTACCCAATCTCAGATGTGCTACTCATCCAAAGTTACCTCATACACCATGCCATCATGAAAAGTCTCCTGACCTAAAATTAGTTCAAACATCTCACAACCCATCTGTAAATGTATCCTTAAAAAACATTTTCTTTTTTATATTATTAAAATAGTACAATGTCCTTGTGTAGAATAGGAAATTCTTAAGTAGCATGCACTTTGACACATGTACGGGTTACTAAATTGGTAAACCCTTGTTGAGACCCTTTACATCCATGTCTTTTGAATTTTAAAAATAATTTTCATTAATTTGTGGCTTCTCTGGTTATTTTGATAGTAAGTCAACACTTCGTTAGCCGCATGTCATTAAACAAAATAATTACTAGATAAACAATGTACAAAATTATGTATTTATTCTTAAGGCACATAATTCTCAGATGGTTATCGAAATATAACTCAAAGATTTATATCTACATTGCTTTATTGTAGATAAAAATGTGGCATTGATGTTCACTTTGTTGACGGGGTGGGGGGGAGAAGAAACAAAGAACACCAACAAAGAACTCCCTGGTAAAACTGAAAAGAGGAGGTGCTCTTTGAGCCCCTCCCCAGAAAATTTTTGATACATTCAAAATGCTGGGATGCATTTTGGCGCATACCTGAATCTTGTTTTGCATCATACTACACTTGATCAGAGAGTAAGAGAAGAAATGCTGGTAGAAATTTGGGTTCCCTTTACCTACCTGTTTTTAAATTTAAACAAATCCTTCATGTAAGTAGTTAATGAAAAGTGATAGTTGTCATTAATTTTATTTTTAAGATTTGAAATTACTAATTTTAATCTTTCATTTTTCTTTAATTTGTCCAAATGCAGTACCATCACTTACCTTCTAATAAAAGCACTGTATATTTATACATTTTTATATTTATGCCATGGATGAAAATAAGTGCAAATTGAATGAAGAAAGAAGTTCATTTGTGATACATCCGGCTTAATGATTAATGCAGCGTGCTACATTCAACTTGCAGGTCACAGGTTGACCATCCCTGGTCTATTAGAAAATCCCTGGTCTATTAGAAAGTCAATGTTTAATTGTGTTTTGAATTGAAATAGTTGTCATTTTGAAAAGTGTGTCATCATACATATTTTTAAAAGCAATTAATTGTTTTAATTTTCCTCTATTTTGCAGAAGGATGTCCTTTCCGAATTACCAAGTGCATCAGAAAGTATAGAGTCATCTGCTGAAAGCATACTTTCAAATAAGGTAGTTCATTACATGAATAATTTTAAACATGATACTTCATTGACCACTTCGCTACCGATGACGTCGATGCGACGTCATGATCACCCACTTTCAATTACCAAGAACGTCACATTGTCGTCATAACAAAGAGGCAAAAACTTTTTTCTTCTTCTTCTATATCTTAAGGGCCCACGATCAATTTATTGATCATTTTGGCTCCTATGCATGTAGATGAGATTTGCAATGTTTCTGTTACTGGTGGTGATGAGGAAATTATGCACTTGAGGCAATAGACACAAATGTGTCTAGTGTTGTCGCCTCAACTGTTCCTTTTGAAAGATGGTTCCAGTCCCTGATTGTCTTGGGCAGGAATGAGCAGCTCCTATACTGGCTTCTTGCTGAAATACCAAGGACGTCACGTCGATGTCATATTTCAATGCTATATATTTCTTTATTCGTTAATCTATAGAGAAGTTAAATAGCAAATCCGATAGAAGATGAAAAATACCAACATTTTTTTGTTTATAAAATTATTTTTACAATTTTTATTATTTAAAGGGAGGGGGGAAGGGGAGGGGGGGGGAGGGGGGGGGAGAAGAGTTTTTTTTATTGCTGAATCAGCAAAAAATGATGCCCAAAAACCATCAGTAATGAAGGGGTTAAGAAAGTGGGAAATAATTTTATTTCTAAGAAATGTTCTGGTTCATATATGTGGTCTTTGATTAAATGATACATAGTTTTTTTATACAAAGGAAATTTGTTTCATGATACTGTTTTTTATCTGTTCATTTGGTAGACACAGTGCAGCATGTCCATAGTACAGTGTCAGAATTTACAATCAGTTTATGGATCATCTTCCGAATACATAAGTAATCTTGAGGTTGCTACAAAATATATTGTGGAGTCACATCATCTGAAATTACTGGTCATAGATCTAGGTGTCGATGACCCCCCAGCCTTATCAGATGATTATTCAAGGTTTGTATGTATTATCAAGTACATGAACGTTGAAGGTTCTTTAAACAAAAATTTGTATTCAAACTAAAAATATAAATAACAAACTAAGCTCTCCTATTCCTATTTGAAACAGTAAAACAATCTGAACTTGAATGAATCGATTGACTTTCGCTTAACAATTTAATAAAATTTAAGTTTTTCCTTGTGATAAGAATTTCACTAAGGATATTTTAATACATCGCACACACATATATACCATACTAGTGCAATGGCTAGTGATCAATAATGATATATTAATTATTAAATGCATATAAATAATCTACTATATTTTTCTTAAGATAGCACTTTGCCAGGTAGAAGTCATCCATTCGTAATATACAAGCTAAGAGGCAAAAGGGAAATGGAGGCTGGTTAAGAGATTTCACTTATGGGAGGGGTCAGATGTCTCAATAAATGAATATTCATGAAAGTTATAGCATCTTAAAACATAATTCAGTCATAGTTGCAACAACAAAGAAGAAATCAACTCAATAATTTAAAGACCTGCTTTGGCCCATCTGATATCATTCAAACCAAATAGACAGTCAAATGATGCTGTAATTTTGAGTCAAACCATCTGAAAGACTTTTTATTTAATATCAAATTTTTTATCTGGGATGAAGGATGAAGTTAATTTTTTTTAAATCAGAACTCTGGAGAATAATGAAGCTTTATTGATACAAATATTAGTGCTATAAAAAAAAACATTTCAATTTCGTGCAAGAAAATCACTTAATGAATATCAAAAAGTCTCACGGTAGGAGATGGTTTATGTGTAATCATTTGTGTCTCAGGCTAGAAGATGGTTTTATATGTATGTATCCACAGGGTGTCTCATGGTAGGAGATGGTTTATATGTATGTATCCTCAGAGTGTCTCTAAAAACATACAAGGTGCAATGGGGTGGGGGTCAGGAGGTATGTTTAGCTTTAGTAATGTGTGGATGGCCCCAAATGCCAAAAAATATACAAACAATTAGTATCATTTTTTATTTTTCATGAAATTATTTCTATATTGTCATTTTGCACAACTTTAATCATGTTTTCATGTTTTTCTTTTCAGTGTCCTGTACATATCTTTAAAATTATCTGGAAAGAATAACAGCTTTAATGGAACAGAAAATTCCAGGGACAAAATTCCCCCAAAATTATCTTTTAACCATATTGAAATTTCTTTAAATGTAAGTGCATCAGGTATCTAAGGATGGTTTAGGTTATAAGAAAAAATAAAACTTTCATTAAAGCATTTTATAACTTGAGATACTTTGTTACTTTATGCCTTTTGGCGTAGTTATTTAAATTTTTGCAGCAAGCATAAAATAACATAAATTGATCACCTTAAAAATCATTTGAAAACGCCATCATCTTAATTATATATTTTATTATTTTTTTATATCTGTCACCTTCATGATGTAATGGATTGTGGTAAATTTTTGTGACTATTTGATCCCCAATTTAAAAATATGAACTGATGCTGTAACAGTACACAAAGTTCATCTTCAATATGGAACGATGTTAGTTTTGTGAAATTAAATACCTAGCTATTAAAATAAAAAAAATTAAAAATTAAAAGTTAATTCAAAATTGAAACTTTCTGGAGAGAAATGTTAAGAGTCATGGGAGGTTTTTGCATCATTCGTTGACTAAATGAAAATGTATTTGATGATTCATAAACATTAATACTTTTGTAGGCAATTTTGTATACCCTTGTCTTTCCATGACTGTCAACTAAATATTCAATTAACATAATTTCTGCCTAATGGCTGTCTGGAACTAACATAAAGAAAGATAAGCTTTGTAACACCTTTGTATTGCTGCATTGGGCTACAGCTGGTCTCCATAAATCACTGCCCAGGCTAAGTAGCTGTCTCGATGCGCCTTCAAATTGCCTTCAGGGACTATGAAGATGGAGTGTACATCCTTATCAGATCTGATGGTAGGCTGTTCAATATTCCCTATTCGTGAACTGCTGTTTGCTGACGTTGCCGCCTTCACATCTCACAGAGAAGAAGGTCTTCAGTGGCTTGTTAATCGTCTATCACATGCTTGTAAAGAGTTTGGACTGACAATTGGTCTACAGAAAACACATATCATGGACTACTGCAATGCTCTTATGGTGGGTCTTCCAGCTACGCTCCTGGATAAAATAAAAAAAACACAGAATAATGCGGCTCGCATTGTTAGTCGAAAACACAAATTCGACCATGCTAAAACACTTCTGAGAGAGCTTCAATTGCTGCCCGTCTGCGCTCGCATAGAGTACAAAATTGCAACTCTGTGCTACCGCTGCTTGCATGACCTGGCACCGTCCTATCTCAAAGTGCTACTGACGCCTTATATACCCACTAGGCAACTCCGCTCATCTGATAGTGGCAAACTCTTGATACCACGTGTTCGCATTGAGACTTAAAAGGGGCGTACTTTTGCATTTGCTGGCCCAACAATTTGGAACACCCTTCCTGTCCCTCTCAGAAACAGTCAGACACTGGATTCTTTCAAAACTTATTTGAAGACTTATCTATTTCGCAAACACCTGCTGGGGTGATGTTGTCTATCTAGCTATTATCTTGTAGATGTATATTTGCCTGTGTTGTTTATGGTTGCAAGGTATGAAAGACTTAAAATGGGTAGTTTTTGTAATTTTGCATTTTGTACTTGAATTTGGTATGTACCATGCTTCGAGCCTGTGGGGATGAAGCGTGATTTTCAAATAATCTTTATTATTATTATTTTGATGCAAGTAGTACTGTCCCCTCCAATCATATATATTGAGGATCTTAATCTGTCGGTTGTTGAACATTTCACATACCGTGGATCCAAGATTTCTAGTTCTCTCTCCGTTGATGAAGAGATAAACATCAGGATCGCAAAATCAGCAGCAACTATGGCTAAACTGAATAAGCGGGTGTGGAATAATATCAATCTAACTGAAAAAACAAAACTAAGTGTCTATCAGGCATGTGTGCTTAGTAGGCGCTTAAATATGGCAGTGAAGTGTGGACCACATATACCAGTCTTGAGTAGAAACTCAACAGCTTCCATCAAAGAGGTCTGCGTCGCATTTTACGCATTTGATGGCAGGACAAGGTGCCTAACACAGAGGTCTTGGAACGTGCACAAATGTTTAGCATATTCTCCGCTCTTAGCAAGAGGCGTCTTCACTGGTTAGGTCATGTAAGGAGAAGAGAAGAAGGCTGTATCCCAAAGATGCTGCTGTATGGAGAGTTAGCAGAAGGGACAAGACTTTTTGGACAGCCACGCCTGAGATTTATGGACGCTTGCAAAAGTAGCATGAGGGAAGCCAACATTGATATCAGCAAATGGGAGATCATTGCTGAACAACGTTCCAGCTGGCAAACAGCATTGTTTGAAGGAGGAAAAAACGCAGAAGATGCGCAAAATGAAGCCCTTGCAACAACAAGAATAATACAGAAGACCAAACATAACCAGGATTCAATATATTCCTGCGAGAAATGCAGGATTGGCTTAGTGAGCCACTCGTCAAAGTGTAGGACTACATAGCTACTCCATCGTCTCGCAAAGACGGAAGGATGCCATATAAATGTCATTGTATTATCACAATATATTTAGTAGTTTCCCCTTCATTCGTATTTTTTAGCAAGAGAAACCTTTAAAATAAAGTTTCTTTTTCAAAATATGCTGTGTTCCCCCTTTATTAACATTTGAAATTGCTGGTAACTTAAATCTAAAATTGAATATTTGAAAACGGTTTTTATTTGTTTGTGGCTTATTAGCAGTAGTTACTTCATCTTATATATAATTTATTTAATACTTCAATTCAAATTTCATTTTTCAATGATAATAAAATCAATGTTATCTATCAAAATGGGATAAATTTATTTTATTATTAGTTTTTTCATGCACAGGTCAATGAACTTAAAGCTCTGTTGACAAATAATTGTTCATAATATTATTGAACACATTTATTTCATCAAATGCATCATTGTATTATTGTATCTATAATTTTCTGTTTACCCTGTAGGACATAGGCTCTGATAGTGACATAATGGCAAGCTTTATCCAAGTTATTTTGCCAGTTTCTTATGAGGTAGTAATATTTTATTTTGATTAATTGTTATAGATGTCTAATAACCTTGTTGAAACTGACATTCTTCCTATTAACTATTTAACCTTCATTTTGTAGTTTGGATTAAAATGAAATTGATGTCTGCTCACATTTGACATTAAGATGTTATTTTGGTGGGTGAGGGCTAAATCTTTAGAAATGTTGTGGGATATTCCAAAATATTTACATATACATAGGATGTAAAGTTTGATGAAATGGGCTGTACTGCACCACTTGGAGAATCGAGAGAAATAGAGCTCATAAAGGCTTTGTTGCCATCAAGGAATCTATGTCAGACTGCACTGAAACAAAATATCAGCTATTGTTAGTAAAACTGAAATAATTATTTTTTAAATGTGTCTTATTAAGTGCTCTTATTTTGTTTCTTCAAAACTGAGAAATCTAAATGATTGGTAACTAAATCTATGTACCAGGGGAAAGAATGATAGGTCACTAAATCTGTGTACCAGGGGAAAATAATGATAGGTCACCCAATCTGTGTACCAGGGGAAAGAATGATAGGTCACTAAATATGTGTACCAGGGGAGAGGGGCAGCAATTAAATGAATTAAACAGCAAGATGCAAAACTTTGTTTAAAGTTGAAGGCCTGGCAGTTATTTACCTACTTTTATTTATTTCATATAATATGGCAGCGATTATTCAGTTGTTGTATTTTTACTTTATTAACTACAAACTTGTATTTTGTTAGTGTGGAAGTACTAATAGCATGTGAACATTGTATGTTAGGGCCCTTTATTTTATTATACTTCTATAATCCTTGGAGTAGCCCATGATTAAATAATCTCAATATAATTTCTTGTCTATTTATTATTTTTTTTTTACTGTTATAGTTCCTGGCAGCAAGTTTTAATAATTACTTAAGGTTATGCACTGAAAAAAAATGTAGTATTGAAATAATGAGTAAAGTAAAAAAAAAAAATGAACCAATCACCATGTATTTTGTTTGCAATGTTTATTTTCAGTTTTGCCCAGACTTCATCATTTTGAAATGGAAACATTCTGCTCCTGATGTCAAGGTAAAAGAACAAGTTAACATTCACATTTTTTAAAACTGTTGGTTAAAATTAAAATCAAGACCATTTTATAATTTTTTTTATAAAATCTATATTTGCAGGAAAGCCAGTCATTCATTACTCCTGCTTGTTTGGGACACATGATACAGTTACTGAAAGGTTTGGCTCAAGGAAAATTACTGATGATTTTTGAAATTGAAAGATTCCAATCCAATGACTATGTCATTGCTAGAGACACTGGAACTTATGATGACATTAATATGTGTTCAAAAATGGTGGCTGAATGTGTTAATGTAATTCTTGGAGGAGGTTGTGGTCAGTTGACAAAAGAACTTGTAAAAGAAAGGTAATTACTTTTACAAAGGTTAGAAAATCAAATACCTTAAAACATTAAGACTGAAGTAAAATTACTATCTTTTGACTATGAAATAATAATATGAGTAAGGCAATATTAATGTAAAAAGATTTTTTTAAAATAAATCTATAAATTATAACACTATACAAAAATATTTCTTTGTATTTCTGATTCCCATTTAAAGCACAATATCGCATATTAAACAAATTCAAGATTTTCTGCAACAGATGTGGACAATATTTCAGTTTCGATGTAAGTATACCTAATAAATTTGGTCTATAAATCTTGTTTAAAATGTTAAACCTTAATTACCACAGTTTTTTGTGACACCTTCAATGCTTTTTTTTTTTTTTGCTGATTAGCAGTTTTTTAAGGGAGTTGTTTTAATCAATGGTATATTTTTATTATTTATTAGCATCCCATTGTGTGCAAACTTTTTTTCTAAAAAAAGCCACAGTTGTGGCTAATGAAAAGTACGATGATAATGATAGTCTATATATGAATCATGAAAGCTATTACTCAATAAGAAAATATATAAATGTTATCCAAATTACAGGTAAACAGTATCACTTGTCATGTATCCTAGTAGCAATAAAAATCATAACCATTTGTTTTTAGTACTGCCCAATATTTCACATCT